ATACGAATTGTAGTCATTTGACGTATCGTTGAAAAAAGTAGGTCAAGTTAGAGCAGAGAAAATAAATGATAGTCAAAAAAATATATCTTCTCAGCTTTGCATCGAAGCTAAAAGTTAAAATATAGTAAAGNNNNAGCTAAAACTTAAAATATAGTAAAATAATTTTAATACGAATAAGAAATTTCTTCTTACAAGGGGCGACTAAAATTATGGGATCCTTGATCTTTATTGAAGTTATTGAATCTAAATGAGATAAAAATCAAATTTTAATATTTTTTTCAAGTTAAAGTTTATTATANCAGAGGTCAAATTTTTTTTTTTCAAATTAAAGTATATTACATTATCTTTAATATAAGATATATATAATAGTGTCAGCCTTTCCGGAACATTTTCAAAAGTTAAGTTGAAAAAGTTAATTTTTTATAAAAAAGTTACCATTTTGAAACCCTTCCTGTGGGCTGTTAAAGGGTCAAATGTTCACAAAAATATAGAATATGATAGGTAAATATCTAAGGAATCTATAAAAAAAAAAGTTATGGCAAATTTATGTAAAAAAATTGAAAAAATATCGAAAAATAGCGATTTTTAAATTTGTAATTTTTTGGGGTATTTCCCCCGTTTACGGGGAACGAGGGAATTTTTTTCAATTTTTGAGGGTAATATCTTCGACTAGACACGATTTGTGATCTTTTGACATATTGTTCATCAAAATCGGTCCAGCGAGAGCTGAGATTGAGCGTTCACAGACACAAAAAAAAAAAATAAAAAAAAAAACACATCATAGTAAAATACCTTCTCAGCTTCGCATGAAGCTAAAATTGAGGAAACTATGATGAAAATTAAATATTATACCTATGTTAATTACCTACTATCATAATTGAAGTACATACCAAGTCATACCCAATATGTGTGATTTGATTATTAATTCAATTTATAATGTTAAACATTTTTAGCTTCGATGCAAAGCGGAGAAGGTATTAATTTTACCATGATGTGTTTATTTTTTTTTTTTTTTTTGTGTCTGTCACTACTTTTTCTCAGCTCTCACTGGACCGATTTCTTTTAACAATACGTCAAAAGATCACAAATTGTATCTAGTTGAAGACATTACCCTTAAAAATTTAAAAATTTTCCCTCGTTCCTCGCAAATGGGGGAAATATCCAAAAAAATTACAAATTTAAAAATCGACAAATTTTGTCATTTTTTCTTAAAATTTCCACAACTTTTTCAAAAATCAACATAATTTTTTTTTAAACTAAAACCTTAGATATTTTTCTTTCATTTGATATAATTTTTTTGAAAATTTAACACTTAACCTGCTCATGGGGGGGGATTTAAAATTGCAACTTTTTTACAAAAACTAACTTTTTCAACTTAATTTTTGAAAATGTTCCGGAAATACTGCGTCCTTTAAACATATATCAAATTAAAGCTTTTTTTATGTACTATAAAATGAAAAAAAAAAATTTGTCCCGACACCTTATCTTCTATGTGCAAATGGCTGTCGAAATTATAAAAAAAATGTAATATTTGCGATAAAAATCACCTTTTATAACGATGTTTTTTGTACTTAAAACTGCCATAACTTTTTCAAATATTAACTAATCAAAATAATATTTCTTTATATTGAAACCTTAGGTAATTTTCTTTCATTTGATATCATTTTTTTTTGAAAATCTAACACTTATTCTGCTCACAGGGGGGATTTAAAATAGCAACTTTTTTACAAAAACTAACTTTTTCAACTTAATTTTTGAAAATGTTCCGGAAATACTGCGTCCTTTAAACATATATCAAATTAAAGCTTTTTTTATGTACTATAAAATGAAAAAAAAAAATTTGTCCCGACACCTTATCTTCTATGTGCAAATTGCTGTCAAAATTTAAAAAAAAATGTAATATTTGCGATAAAAATCACTTTCTATCGGAATGTTTTTTGTACTTAAAACTCCCATAAATTTTTCAAATATTAACTAATCAAAATAATATTTCTTTATATTGAAACCTTAGGTAATTTCCTTTCATTTATTACAATTTTTTTTTGAAAATCTAACACTTATTCTGCTCACAGGGGGGATTTAAAATAGCAACTTTTTTACAAATACTAACTTTTTCAACTTAATTTTTGAAAATGTTCCGGAAATACTGCGTCCTTCAAACATATATCAAATTAAGTCTTTTGTTATGTACTATAAAATGAAAAAAAAAAAATTTGTCCCGACACTTTTTCTTCTACATTTAAACGGCTGCCGTAGTTAAAAAACACTATTTTTGTGTTAAAATTTTCGATTTTAAATTTTCAACTTAAAAATGCTATAACTTTTTGAAAAATGTATATATCAGCACAAATTTTTTTAATTTATTATTTATGACCATTGATTTAATATCAGCAGAAGGTATCATATTATTGGAAAAGTAAGATATCAGCTCAGCCCTAGTAATTATAAAAAAGTTGATAGTTATATATACAAGTCATAAATTAATTAATGTTTTTTTTTTATGTATTCGTAAATATTTAAAATATCAACTTTATAATAAATAGTTCATGTACTGAATATTACAATAATTTATTTAAAAAATTAGGATTTTTGTTGTATTGATTAGCATTGTCAAGTGGATAATACTAAATTCTTAATAGAATTACTTTCCATTGAAAATAATTTACATTGTTATATGTCTTTGCTTGGCATAAATTTGTGAGCCAAAGATTTGTCTCAAGTAAACAAAAAACTAAAAATTTATTTAAACAATTTCATTTTGAATTGTGAAATATAACACGATTATTGTTTTTTGCTGTAGATCTTGTCACTGGAACTGATATTTGCCTAGGAATTAATTGGGAACAAATTGAAGTATTAAATGAGACTGGATTACTTAAATTGTTCTGAAATAATAATAATAATAATAAATATGTTTTGATTTCATATAAAATAACACTACAAAAAACTTGTTTGTTATGTAAAAAAAGTGTTATATAAAGTACTATAAATATCAATTATTGTAACAAATATTATATTAAATTTTTTTTTTAAATATCTAGATTAATTATAAAAAAACTAATTAGTTACTTACAAATTGTAAATTTGATGTTTTCTTATATTTTTTAGATTGTTTATGCTTGGGCTCAATATAGGAACACTTCAAACCTCCTTCTACCCATCGGTTATTTTTTATAACAATGAGATCATCTTGAAACTATAAATAGAAAAATATTGGTTTAATAATTAACTACTAAATAGTAAGTATTTACAAAATCTTAATTACTTGATATGATATGTTCAGATCATTAGACAATTTTGTTAATTCTCTAGAAAAAATTATTTTACAATAATATTTTAAAAATGAAATACTGATTAATTACATTATTACATAATGTTCTAATATCTTAGATATTATTTTTCCATTTTATACTGATATATTTTTCCATGTTAACTGATTAAAAATAAAAACTCCACTCAAAAAAGAAAATTATAGATATTTGAAATAAAGATATCTTAACATTTTTTAAATATGGTCATAGTTTCACTTTTTATGAAGATTTTGTAATATTCAAACCCATTTTTAACTTAGAAAAATAATTGGAATCTTAAAAAACAGAGTATCTAAAGTAAATGTACATTTGTGTAATGTTATACATATTTTGTATTGATTAATATATTTTCCAAAAATTTGCTTTCGATGATAATATTTTCAACTATATCAATCTATCAATTCCACAGAAATTAAGGCGCTAACCTTTAAGTAATAACAGTGTATATAGTTTTATCTTAATTTCATTTCCTTGTAATAAAATTCCTTAAATGAACACTACTTTAGGTTTCCGAAAGTATATAATTAACTATTTTAATAACATTTATATAATATTAATGATTACCTATTATTTTTTTGACATCCAAGTTTAGCTAGCTGTCTTGAAACATCAGCATCTCTTACTTGCAGTTTAATTTTAGTTTGTTGAATACTCTCAAGTTCTGGGGCATAACAAACATTTAAAATACTACCAAAAAAATTTTTAGTATCAATTTGTTTTTTTGCAAACCTAAAAAAAACATTAATAACTTAAATGAAATTATAAATTAAAAAAGAACTTGCTAACCTTGCTGATTGAATGTTATAATATATAACATGAAAACATTGAGTAAATTGTTCTTGTTCTTCAAACTGAACTTGTTTAATACATGAGACATGTCCATAACGTATACATAGTTTTTGTACTTCATCAAATAAATTTATAGATGGTACTCCTCTAATTAATAAATGCTGTGATTCATCATTCACTGTATAAACCTTTTGATGTTAAAATAAATAAATTCATGAAATAATCCAAAAAATATAGAAGAAAATAAATATAAGAGTTAAATATATTTATCTTCTTATTATTTAGTTATTAATACCAACTTTTATACCTTAACTGCAGTAAGTTTACGTCCCTGCCTATACTTAGGACGGTTTTCACAATACTCCAAAGTATTATGATGAGGGTAGGATTTTAATACTTCTATTTCTCCTTTGGACATCATAATCTAAGAAAAATAGACACAGTAATACATTGTTAATTTTGCAAATTAAAATACATAAACATAAAGCAAAGTTTACAGTATAATCAAAATATAGAATAAATTTCATAAATTTATAAAAAAAAAGGAATAATATCAAGGAAAAGTTTACATGTTTATGTACCACAATCCATTATCACCAATGGAATTAGAGTATCTAAATGTTTTCTTAAAGATATTAAAAACACTGGAAAAATAAACTTTATTTATTATTGTAATTACTTTAGTAATTCAATTGGAAAATATAAATTTAAATTAAAATAACAGGATGAAAATCTGCTGGCTAGTTATATATAAATTATTAGTAAAAACATTTACAATAACAAGAATATATAATATGTATATACATTTTAAATTATTTAGAAACATGATATTATCACGGATAAGATGAGTTTTTTCTTATCTGTGATATTATTATTATCTGTAAAATACTCGGTTATACAGAAAGTTTGTATGACCGTGGTAAAATAGTAATTATAATTTTTTATCAGTCATTTACAGTAGTTATTATTAGAGAAAGTACAGAAAACATGTTCGAATTGGAACAATTATTCGGTAGGATTGGTATTTTATGATAAAATATTTATCAATACTGGAATATTGAATTGAATGGTATTTAATGGGTACGTGAGTTATTAGAAACTGTACTTTTGGGATTAATATGATGCAAGAATGATAAAAATATGAAAAATTTGTATTTTTAAGTATCTAATATAAATATAAAAGGTATTTATGCAAATACCTTTAATTTACAAAGGTTTCCACAAATAGACTTGTTGTATCATGTCATGTATACTATACACATGGTGTTCTTTATGGGGCTAATAGAGGGGAAAATGACCACGTTTTGCAGTAGAATACGTTAAAACCCAATCATTTCTACAAGGCGCCATTAAAGTAAGAGCAAAATAAAACACAATATGCAACCATACGTCGACAAAATTATTAATAGAGCTCACCAGACACTCGGGTGTTCAATTATGGTTTTCCAGCATCAGTTGCATATGGCTTCTTTTACCGATCAAGAGGAAATGGAATAAAAAATGTTGAATAGCATTCTTTTAATATATGCAATTGAATATTACTCACATCGAATGATCAAACTTTAGACAAGATAATAAACGACAAAAATGGTGCCCACATATATGGACGCTAAGTTATCAAGAGTATATACCTTGATTATCATTATTCTATACCTAGTCAAGACATAAAATCGAGTCATCTACTACGAGAGCGCCGCGGTCTCCAGAATCAGACCCGTTACGGGCGGTGTCCCGCAAGGGTCACTTCTCGAGCCTCTGCTGTGGAACATCGCGTACGACGCAGTGTTCAGCGTTCCGCTACCATGCCGGCGACTCCTCTGCCGGTCTTGGCCAAGAAGCCTAAGTTGGTGCCCCTGACTGCAGTTGATCTCTTCAACGCTGACGGGACACCAAAGAGGGTGATTGGCCGGACCGACGAGGTGTTGTCGGCTGGGCTGGACCTCGCCAGGGAGCAGGCGGGCCAGCTCTCCGACGTGCTGGAGGTCTATAGCCCTCACAGGCGAGTGGTGAAGATGGCCACAGCCCTTATCGAAACCATAAGGGCCTTGGCTGATCTTCACCTCACAAGCACGCCTGTGGGGAGATCACCTGTACCTACGTCGGAGAGCCCTAAGTGCCTCCAGGACTGTGCGTCCCAGACGAACTACTGGTGGGACACTTTTGACCCACCATCTAAGGCCGTCGGGAACGCAGCGTCCACCCTACAAGGCGGCGAGGTGGCAGTGGGTGCGCTCCTGCCTGCCACCGCCGCCAAAAAGCGAAAAAGAAGGAAAAAGAAGAAGGGAGTGGCAAAGGACACTGGGTGTTCGATCGCGGACACAATGGCGTCCTTGCCACTCGAGGGCGTGGCCCCTCCTCCTCCGAAAGCTCCTGCCACCGCTTCAGCCCCACAAACGGCCATCTTGTGGACTGAGGTGGTGAAGCGGAGGGGGACCAAGAAATTGGAGAGCATGGCAACGACGGCTCCCAAAGAGGAGGTCCCTGGTGGGCCCAAGCCTAAGCCGCCACCACTGTCCCGAGGCCCGACTGCCGCCCAGCTTAGGGCAAAAGTTCCGAGGACGGAGGCGGTGGTGATTGGACCACTCAAGGAGGGGCAACGGTACGCCGCGGTCATAAAGACCGCGATGGCTGCCGTTGACCTCAACGCCCTTGGGGTCCAATTGGCGGACACCAGGCGGACGGGNGCGTCCTTGCCACTCGAGGGCGTGGCCCCTCCTCCTCCGAAAGCTCCTGCCACCGCTTCAGCCCCACAAACGGCCATCTTGTAGACTGAGGTGGTGAAGCGGAGGGGGACCAAGAAATTGGAGAGCATGGCAACGACGGCTCCCAAAGAAGNACTGCTGGAGGTCAAGGGCGCGGCCTCCCATGCGGACCTCCTAGCTGCCAGGCTACGGGAGGCACTGAAGGAGCATGACGTGCGGGTTACTAGGCCGATTAAGACCTGCAGCGTCATGCTCCTTGACGTGGAGGAGTGGATGGAGCCGGGCGACATTAAGTGTGCCCTGCTCTCCGCCCTCCAGGGCCCAAACGGGGGCCAGGCCGAAGTTGGTGCGGTAACGGTCCGCACCAACGGATTCGGCAAGGGGCGGTACGCCAGGTGCGACCTGCCAGTCCGGTTAGCTCCACGCCTTGCGGCCCTCACGCGAGTGAGGGTGGGGTGGAGCTCCTGTAGGCTGAGGGTTCTTGAAGACAAGGGTCCTCAGTGCTACAGGTGCCTGGAGCGAGGGCACATTGCGGCCGCCTGCAAAGGCCCGGACCGCAAGGGTGCCTGCTTCAGGTGCCGGAGGGTGGGGCACCTGTCCAAGGACTGCCCCGGTCCCCAAGCTAAGGGGACCGAGGGAGGGGCTGCGGGGAAGCCTCTAGTAGAGGTGTCGGCGGTCCAAGGGACCCCTAAGGCGTCCTGCGCGCCGCCCACCAGTGGATGAGGTTCCTTCAAACGAACCTCAACCATTGCAGGGCGGCGCAGGATCTGGTCCGGCAGGCGGTGTACGAGATGCGTATCGACGTGTGCGTAATCTCGGAACCGTTTGTCGGACTGATCAAGGACGCCCCGGGGTGGTACTTGGACCGGTCCGGGAGAGCGGCGATCGGAGTGATGAGCCGCGGCCTAACGGTCGCGGACATCGAGGTTGGCGACGGATTCGTAGCGGCGAGGATTGACGGCATTGACGTCTTGAGCTGCTACGCGCCGCCCAGCTTGCCGATCGCCGGACTCCTCGAGTCCGTGTCCTCCTGCCTACGGGCGAGGAGACTCAGGCGGCCGCGCGACGGCCGCGGGGAGCTCGTGGCCGGGGACTTCAACGCTCACTCCCCGGTCTGGGGGTCGGCGGACACGAATCAGCGTGGCGAAGAACTGTTGGACCTGATGTCGGCCATCGGGCTGGTATCGGCCAACAGGGGATCCACCCCGACGTTCGAGGGTCACTCCTCGAGCTCGGTGGTGGACGTCACGCTGGTGTCTCCGTCGCTGCACCCGCACGTGACCGGCTGGTCGGTTCTCCCGTACAGGGAAAACCTCAGCGACCACCGGTACATCGTGTACGAGTGCGGCGATGGTGGCCGTCCCCCTCGAGCCGTGCCCCGCGTGCCGTCTCGCAGTGGGCGAGTGGGCTGGCGAGTCGGACCGGCCACGGACGTCGACGCTTTTGAGACGGGCTTACTGCTCGCTCAATGGTCGGCGCCCGCGGTACCGGACCGGCGCGTCTCCGCGAGCGAAGCGGCGGAAGAGTTGGACCGGAGGGTGGTCGCAGCTTGCGACTTCGCCCTCCCGGCCAAACGACCGCCGTCGACTCGCGGACCGCCAGTCCACTGGTGGAACGCCGAGGTGGCGGTCAGGCGTGAGGAGTGCGTCAGGGTCAGGAGGACTATGACGCGCTCCAACCGTTGGCCGCGGGACCCGGAATCCCCGGACCCGAGGGAGGCGCTGAGGTCGGCCCGCAAAGAGCTGAAGCTCGCCATCAGGCGGGCCAAAGCGAAGTGCTGGGCCGAACTCGTGAAGTCGGTGGACCACGACCCGTGGGGGAAACCCTACCGGGTCGTTATGCGGAAGCTCCGCGGTTCACCGGCTTCCGGTCAGCTGGAGGCGGAAGTGCTGGAAAGGGCGGTAGACACGCTCTTTCCGACACACCCGCCTCTGCCTCCCCCTGCGTTCGGGGACGACGTGTCGGTGGAGGAATTCACCACCCAGGAGGTGGCCGACGTGGTGGCGCGCGTACGGGGCCGGAACACAGCTCCCGGCCCTGACGCGATTCCAAACCGGGTGTGGGGGTTGGTAAACGACCTCGCCCCGGACTGGATACGCGCCGTCGCGAACCGCTGCCTCTCGGAGGGTGAATTCCCCACGAAGTGGAAGAAGGCCAGGCTGGTGCTTCTGAGAAAGGGTGACAAGCCCGAGGGTCTCCCCTCGTCGTACCGACCGCTTTGCATGTTGGACGACTTGGGGAAAATCCTCGAGCGGCTGCTCGTCACCCGGATCGAAGCCCACCTGGCCGACGTCGGCGGACTGGCCGAGGGCCAGTATGGTTTCAGGAGGGGGAGGTCGACGGACGATGCGGCCTCCCTCTTCAGGGACTTGGCCCTCAGGGCCAAAACTGAGCAGGGCTNTGAAGCAGGCTTTTGACCTGTCCGGGCCTTTGCACGCGTGGGCAATGTGTCCGCGTTCTAGACACCTGTAGCACTGAGGTCCCTTGTCGAGAATCCTCAGCCTACAGGACGTCCACCCGACCCGGACTCGGACTAGGCCTGGCAGGCGATGGGCCGTTTTGAGGGGCACCTCGCACCTCGCATACCGCCCCTTACCGCCGACGTTCGTGAGGACCGTAACAGGTCCCACTTGCGGCGGCAGTTCTCCATTCGGATGCTTCAGGGCGGCGCTCAGTGCTCGCTGGACATCGTGTTCCTCCTGCCACTCCTCCACGTCCAGGAGGAGGACGGTGCAGGACATCGAAGGCCGGTGTACCCGCACGTCCATTTCCTTTAGGGCCGCCCTCAGACTGGAAGCCAGAAGGTCAGCCTGTTCAGCCGACCCCCGGACCTCCAGGAGGACGGCACCCGTCTGCGTTCTCCGGGTCCTGGACACTTGAATGCCCAGGGCCTGGAGGTCAACAGTAGCCATAGCTATGCCCATTACCGTGGCATACTTCGGCCCCACTTTTAGTGGGCCAATCACCACAGCTTCCGTGCGTGGCACTTTTCCTCGCAGTTTCGCCGCTTTCTGGATTCTCGACCTCGTCTGCTGAGGTTTGGACTCAACTGTAGCATCCTGCTCCTTCCTCCTGGTACCCGCCTTGCGTCCTAC